AAAAAAAAAAAAAAAAACTATCATCATATTAAGCGTGCATTGATGAAGATTGAAAATAGAAGCAATTAACAGCATACCCGACAGGGTAACAACCAATAAGTGATCATATTTCAAAAGCCTGATTTTCTTTTCAATGATGAACTAGAATTATGTCTGTCAAACGTGCTGATTTTTTGAAAAATCTACTTGATTGCATTGCAGCTAATTATATCCACTTGCATTTAATCATCCCCGACGACAAATCTAGTAAGAAAGAGGTCCTTTTAAACCAAACATGACCAACGGGTTGGCCCGTAACCGTTGACCGTAGTTACGGACTCAGATTGAGACCAGATTCGGAGGTTGCCCAGTTCCGCTTCAACAATTATTTTTCGACTTTGAAGTACCTTGATTGTTAGGCTGTATTTGGTAAGCATATAACTTAACTTACAGTTCATTTGATTAGTTTATAAAAGCTCGACATTATCTAATAAGTTTCATTGATAGCTTTTCAAATAAGACTATTGAAATTTTTATTCAAGTAGTCAAACTAATCATCTAATTTTACCAAGCATTTTTGTCGTATAAATTAGTTTTTCAGCCATAAATCGTAAACATCAGCTATAAGCTCGAAATTCAATTAAAAGGTAGTATAAGCTAACTTACCAGCTATCTAGGTTTATAGAAAATAATCTTAAATGAAATTGGCTTCAAACCGTCGATTCACAAATTAGAACCAGGACTGCTAGTTAGACTCGTCAGTCGATTATGTTATAATCTTATTTAGTTCCCAGGATAAAATTGAGTCACATAGCAAGGGGCGATTTGGGGGGTGATTGGTTATGAATTTAACTAAAAAAAAAAAGATTAATCAAAACTCAAATTTAACTCAACCATACTATCCTCAATGTAATCATTATAATTGAATAATATCAACCAATTATTATTACACATCACATCAACTTTAATTCACTATTCATCCAGTCACATAATTTTAACTATCGCTTCCAATAATTTTTCTCATACTTTATATTAAATCAATTTTTAATGATTTTATTTTAAATATTATTTTAATATATCCACTAACAATTAATCATACAATTTTTTTAAAAAAAAAACTATAATTAAAAAAAACAAATCAAATAAATCTAGTTGAATCCACGAACAATCACCTTCAGTGTTGCGCAAAATGTATAAAATAAATTAGTTGGTGAAAGGGAAACCCAACTCCATCGTATTTTTTATGCTAGAAAACGTCAAGTATTAGGTTTCGAAGAATGTATATTAATGTAATCGACAATATGATACAAAAACTAACGTGAAACAAAGCTAGCAAGATAATTTTATTAATTATTAATTAATATTTTTACTCTCAAAGCATGCAAATCTCTTTTTACCTAACGTTCGTAAAGCAATTTAAGATAAAGAATTGGAATATTATTAGGTCTACTTTTGTAAATAACTTCACTAGTAGCCTGAATGAACATTGTGCATATATTGCAAAACAGTCCTTTTTTCTTTTCTTTTTGGAAATATTCAACTATATATCTTACCGAATTTAGTTGGACCTATTCCTAAAATTCAGGGAGCTACTCAACAAATCAAATCACTATTCACAA